ATATATATATATATATATATATATATATATAACAATAACTCTGACATTCAATTAAAATATATTTATATATTTATATATTCAAATATTTTTATAAATATAAATATAAATATACATATATATACTTTCTTGCGCTGCGCCCGCAACGCTGCGGTGTACGTACGTCAAGGAGAACAAGCGAAATAAATAAACAAATAAACTAAAACTTTTTTTTTTTATTTATTAAACAAATTCATTATATTTATATCCAAGCATTTTTATTTAATTTATATATTTATTTCCGCATGCAAACGAACCCCTTTAGGGCTTATTAAATATTCTAAGAAAGAGAAACCTGCTGCTTTTTCGTTGATGCAAACACACACACATCGATCTTTGTCGTTTTTTTTTATTTTATTTATTTTATTTTATTTATTTTATTTAATTTATTTTATTTATTTTATTTATTTGCTTGAAAATTCCTTTGTTAAGTCTGCACAAGCACGGATTGCTACCGTAAGCATCTTCTTCTTTCCCTCAGCAACCACACGGCCGGTGGGGTCGTAGTTAGCCTGCAACAAAAAAAAAAAAAAATAAAAAAATAAATATAAATTAAAAATAAAATAAAATAAATAAATACTTGTATATACACTCCAACAACAAACATTTTATTTTCTATACTCAAATGCACACGCATAGTATCTTTGTACTATATTTCTGCACAAAAAAAAAAAAAAAATATTGAATCGAGATGAATATTTATTTAATTTATAATAAACAATATAAACATAAAAAAAATATATATTTAATTTATAATAAACAATTTAAAAATAAAAAAATATATTTTTATTTATTTCTTACCTGATCCCACTGTAAAGGAGAACCATCAACGGTAGCGATAGCTCCTGTTTCTATTCCTCTCCCTAACCCAACTAAAAAGATAGATTGAAATTCACAATCAACAATATCAGTGAATTTAGCCCAATTAGTTAAATTATCTATATGTTCTTTTCCATGTCCATAGAAAACACCATTTGTTAGTGCAATACCCTGTTTCAGGGTCACCCCCATATCTTCTCCTGTTTTTATTAATTTATTAAATATACGAGGAGAACCAACAGCAGGCATTCTTATAGGTATATATAAATCAGAACAATCATTATCTCTTGCTGCTGCATATGCTACTACTATATCTCCTTGATTTACTTTTCCTGGTTTCATACTACCACATGTTCCTGCTCTTATTATTATTTTTGCTCCTAGTTTAATAAGCTCTTCTAGACATATCATGGTGCTGCAGCAACCTATACCATGTGAAATAACTGTGAATTTCTGGCCATCTTTTATACAATTTGCTGATTTAAATTCTCTATTAAATGCTAAATTCTCGTGACTATCACATAAAGATATTACCTCATCGACGCGCTTGGGGTCCCCCATAGTAAGCACTACGGGTTGAACCTGCCCCTGAACACACACACACATACACACAGAAACCAAACGGAAAGCTGAGCGATCCTCCATGAATTCATGAATAAAAACAAATAAAATTTATAAATATATTCAATTCATACTTTATTTATACGGTTTTCTTGAAAAAAATACACAAAACGATATATATTAACCCCTAATACACCCATACAATCGATATACAGGTTCATACAAACAAACTGCTGCATCCCGGCTCTCGATTCATGTATGTATTCAGTTTCCTTCTGTTTTGGTGAAAAAAGAAAAGGTAATTCAGATATTTTTAAATAAATAAATTAAATAAATAAAAACAAATACAAAAAGGAAGAGAAACTGAATGAAGGCAAATGCTTACCTTGCGCAGCTGGATGTGTGGTTGGACCTCTACGCCCTCCATTTTCGCTGTATAAAGGCAAATGAAATCACTTTAAACGCGCGAATATTAAAACGAGAAGAAAAAAAGAAAAGAAAGAAAACAAATTACAAAAAATACATATTAGACATCCTTAATTCGTGAAGAGCAGAGAGGGAGAGAGGATGCACCACCCCAGTGGTGCTTGCACAATATGAACGCGGCATCGCACCC